TCTAAACCTTGGTAGGTTAGGCTGACCTTACCATGGTTCTTAAGTGAACCATGGTCAAGGTTAGCTTCTCCTACAAGTTTTAGAAACCATGGATGGTTAGCTACACCTTACCATGGTTCCTAGTGAACCATGGTTAAGGTTAGCTTCCACTAGAAGCTACCTCTCCCTATATATTTGTTTTCTCTTCACTTGTAATCACTTTTGAACATTTGAGAAATAAAACTTCAGATTTCTCTCCCAAAAGTCTCTCCTAAAACCGAAGAGAACTTTCTCTCTAAGGTTCTCACCAAAGGTTTTCAACATTTGCCTTGGTTCCTCAAGCTTCCTTCACAAGCTAGGAAGTAACCGAGCCAATTCCATTGCTTCTCCACCATTGGAGAATCCTCCGAGGTGATTCCGCCACCTCAAAGGAGTTCTACCTCAAGAGTTCATGGTCCTAAGCATGGAGAACTTGGAAGAACAACAATCTTCTCCAAGTGTTTCCATCAACTCCTAATATTTTTCTATTCAGTCTTATACCCTGTTTTCATTTACGATCTTCTAACATTTTATATATCATTACTTAGGTTATAAATTGCTATTTTGGTTGTGGTTGTGAGTCTTGATATTATGGAATTTAGTCAAGGTCACTTGTGATTTCACCTATGGACCCTATAGCATTTGGACATATTTTTTTATTTAATGAAACGATTAAGTATTTGTAGAGACATTGTGGCTAAATATTCAAAGAAAATAAGGGCGTTGGGGGTTACAATCTTAGAGTTATTGTCCGAGGCTCTTGGTCTTGATCCTTCTTATCTTAAGAAAATGGACTGCTCTGAGGCACTATTTATCATGGGTCACTACTATCCCTCATGCCCTGAACCCGAATTAACTATGGGCTCTATAGAGCACACTGATATGGACTTCATGACAATACTTCTCCAAGATCAGATGGGTGGTCTTTGATTTCTTCATGAGAATCAATGGATTAATGTTCCTCCTCTGCGTGGAGCACTTATTGTTTATATTGGAGATCTTTTACAGGTAATTACTATAATAGTTAATTTCATGTTTTCTATATATATATTATTTTCCTTTCATTTTTATTCTTGGACCTAATTCTTCTTAGATCAAACTCTCAAAAACTTCTTATCAGGCTCAATCCTTTTTCATAATATATGGAAATAAAGAGAAAAAAAACATCAACGCACTATATGCATGTGTTCGATCTATACATGTTCTTTGCTTGCACATTTTGAAGAGATATATTATTATATATCTGAGCCAACAAAGTTCAAGGGATATCGATCTTACGAGTGATCATGCATGTTTTACGTACTCTTAATCTTGGATCCAAGTCACTTTATCTTCCTTTTCTGTTTTCGTTCAATTAATTAGCGCCTCTAATAAAATATATTAATTGTCTATATATAGTGATTTAGGTATATATTATGAGGCCAATGTATGATCAGTACGTGACTGACGTACATGTTGGTGATGTATTTATTGTTACGATGACTTTTTTTTTTTTTTTTTTTTGGTCATGTGATGCATGGTTTCTTTGATCAATTACGCATAATGGATTGGAAGAGATGGATTGGTAATTAAGTATATCAAACGAGATGCGTGTGGGAGAACACACTAGGCAATATATAGGTGGACACTGGAGAACGACAAATTTTGACCAATAAATTAATTAAATTGTAATATAATTAAAGAGCTAGAGAACTAGCTTACTAAAATAATACTGTAACGTATATGGCGGCCAATAAATTTAAATTAATACTAATAATAATTAGTTGTTCTTTGTTTGACGGTGGTGGTATATATTATTAAAAAGTTTACGATAATGTAAGACACAATTGTAGAAGTTAATTATTAATATTTTTTGAGGATTTATAGTTGGACTATGAATATCTATCTGATCTTTGGTGTAAGTTTACATAAAAAAATATAAAATATGAAAAAAATTTAATTTGATCTCAATTGTGACGGTACCTATATTACGATGTAACAATTGATACTAGTGAAAAATTAGGATACTATGTCACCTATTTTACGTCAGACATACAAATACCTGACGTAATAAAAACGCGGTGACATGTTTCGTAATTTTAGTTAAATTATTTACGTCGGACCTCCTAAGATCCGACGTAAATTTTAACATCTACGTCGGCTATCCATTGTGTCTGATGTAGATGTTAAAATTTATGTCGGACCCTACTAGGGCCGACGTAAATAATCCACGCCCATTAAAAGAAGGTTTACACGCAATGGAGATTTTAAAAACTTCCTTCTCCCGCGCGTTGTGCAATGGAGGCCACATGCGAGAACATTGACGGATGCATGTAGAAGAGAGTGGGGGCACATGCCCCACTATCATTTTACACATATATATTTTTATCTAAAAAAATAATATATTTAAAAAAAAAATTATATTTTAATAAAATATACATATATATTTAAATTATTATATTATAAAATAAATTTTAAAGTCATTTATTTGATATTTATCAAACTTTCGAAGAAGATTAATTCTCATATATGATAAAAAAAAATTCCGTAATAAGGAAATAATTTTTTAAAAAGTTTAATTTTTGATAAAATAAATTTTGCAGCATATATATTTACCTTTTGTGTTTTTTTTATTTATGTATACATTAATTAAAAAAATCAAAATAGTAAAGATTGTAAGATTGTATATGTTGATTAAAAAAATCAGAATGGAAAAGATTGAAAGATTTATATTCTATTTAAAATTTTTATTGTAAAATATGTGTTGAAATAAATTATCATCTAAAATATTATATTAGATATTAAAAACATATTTATATTATAAAATTAAACTTGATTTTTATACAATTTAATATATTTATTTGTATGCTTTTATTAGTATTAAATTATTATAAAGTATATTTTTAGGATTGCAGTTCTAACTAAATATTTAAAAAATGTCTATGATAGATAAATAAGTTATATTTAGGACATGTATTTTAATATAAAAAAAAAGTTAGGTTCAAACCTCCTAAATTATAATATAACATAATCTGACCTAACTTATTTTCATCCTTAATCATAAGTATAGATATAAAAGTTTGTAAAAAATATTTATGTTATATATTTATACTTTTGAAAGTTATATGTAAATTTTTTAATACTATAAATATATAAATAATTATTGCCCCCACTATCTAAAATTTCTGGATCCGTCACTGCACGAGAAATCCCTCCGCCTCCTCCTCAAATCGTGGCTGCCCTCCACCTCGACAAGTTCTACCTCCTCTAGAGCTTAGGAAGGTTGAGAAGAGGTTGATTTCGCGTGATGATGTTCTTCTTCGGACGGTTGCGTTGGTCATGGGTTTTTCTGGGAGGTTCTATGAGGTGGTGTCTTCTGCTGAGTGTGTTCACGGGAATAAGAAGGTAATGTTTTCATTGCATTCTGAGTTTTTGAAGCTGGAGAAGGAAGTGGCCAAGTACGGGTTGCAGAACGGGCCGTTCTCCATGCAAAACGGGCCGTTCTGCTTGGACAACGGGCCATTCTCCAACCAGAACGACCCGTTCTGCTTGCAGTCATTTTTCTTTTCTTTTTTTTTTAAATTTTTTTACAACTTTTTACGTCGGACCTTGTAATGTCCGACGTAAATTTACGTTGGTTTTCGCACCCGACGTAAATTTACGTCTCCCGCTTCGACGTCGGAGGTTTTTCTAACATAAAACCCCTAAAATAACCGACGTAGAATGTATATTCTGTACTAGTGTGATATACAATTTGAATGTGTTGTTATTTTGTTTGTTTGTTAAGTTTTAGGTTAAATTAAATTTATATGTAAAATTTTTAAATATATTACAAAATGCGTTGACATGTTTATTATTTTCTCTTATATTCAAAGGAAGAATTAACTTTTTATGGATTTGCGTGAAACTCTCTCTCTGCGCCACACCAACGGTGATCTACCTCCGAAGCCTCCTGATGGGATTAGGATTGGCGAGACGTCTTTTCGAGACAAAGATATTGGAAAACAGACGAAGCCGAAGGCGATCAAGGACCTGCTTAAGGAGGGCGATATGCAGGTAGAATGGGATAATGGGAATTGACTCCTTCCGAAATTCAAGATCAATGATTCTATGTTTGATAGGCTATGCCAGCCATGGAAAAAGTGCCTTGTTGTGAAATTATTAGGGAAGAAACTGGGATATTTTACGTTACGGGAGAAGATTAAGCAGTTATAGAAACTCACGGGAGGATTCAAATTGATGGACGTGGATCACGAATATTTTCTAGCCAGCTTTGACCTCGATGATGACAGGGAAAAAGCCATTAATGGCGGACCGTGGATGATCTTCGATCACTATCTCACGGTACGCCCATGGTCGCCAAATTTTTCAGCCCAAGACGACTCCATCAACAAGACCTTAGTGTGGGTGCGTTTCCTAAACTTGAATATGATGTTCTACGTCGAGAGCGTATTATTAACTATAGCCTCCGTTATTGGGAAACCGTTAAAGGTGGACCTGCACACTGCCAACATGCTGCGCGAAAGATTTGCACGCGTTTGCGTGGAGGTTGATTTGAATACCCCTGTTGTGGGTAAGTTTAATTTGAATGGAAAGTGGTATAACATCGAATACGAAGGCCTACATTTACTATGTTCTAATTGCGGCTGCTATGGTCATGTTAATTGGAACTGCTCATTGAAGACGACGGAGGAACAAGGGCCAACTCCAGCAGGCGAGGCTACTGCTTTAGGGAATGATTCTGTTTCTAGGAATAATGCAAAATCTATCTCATGCAATATCTCTGCCACAAATCAAGATAAGTCTGTTATCTCCGCTCATGGTGATTGGCTCGTTGTTAGGAGGAAAAAGAAATCAAATATTCAGAAATCTTCCAAAGATTTTGTTCAAAATAACTCAAATTCGAACAAAGGCTTCACTTTCCAATCTAGTGCGGGTCGGAGCACCGCTAATAACCCTAAAGCTACACCCATGCATGCAACCCCCAAATCCACCTCGTCACGTGGGATTAAACAAACCTCGTCACGTGGGTTCATTAAGAAGATTGACCCCACCACCTTAATGGGGTCCACTCGTCAAACTTCCACACAACAAGGGAGTCAAGAAAAAAAGCGTCATCGTATGGATTCAAGTCCAATTTCTACTGGGCCTACTTTACCTAAACAAATGACGTCAACTGCTGGGCCCCCTCTACTCACTCAAATAACGTCGACTTTCTCCTCTACTCAAGTCATGCATGATGATGAGGTCCAGGTCATGTTAGATGGGGGGACAATGCATGCTTTAACACATGTTGAAGGTAATCGATATTCAATGAAGTTGGATGATGTTGACACTGCAGATGAGCGCAAAGGTATCCCTGATTCTAGCTGTAATGAGGTCCATGGGCCAGATATTATGGTGGTCTAATCTGGGTTTCCCACTTACTCCCTTCTATGTCATAATGAATACTTTAGCTAATTTAAATATTTTAGCTTGGAACATTCGTGGTGTTGTCAACGCTAAAGGTAGACGACGCACAAAGGAGCTTCTTCATGGGTTTCAACCTGAAATTGTCATCCTAGTTGAAACACATTGTAATTTTTCTGCTGCTAAAACATTCTGGACTAGCATGGGGTACGAGTTATGTGGGGTATCTGAAGCCCAGGGGCATGCTGGCGGCATCTGGATTCTTGCTAAGTGTCTTCGTAACTTTCAAATTGAACCCTTGGAATGCTTTCATCAAGCAGTCTCTGTTACAATTCGTAAAGGCCTGTCATCCTTTGTTTGCACTGCGATATATGCGAGTCCTGTACCCCGCAATAGGGAAGCCCTCTGGTCATATCTACGTGAGATTCGCATTCGTATTTCCACACCATGGCTCTTGATTGGTGACTTTAATGAAGTCCTATCACCCAATGAGGTTCGTGGCGGCTCCTTTTCATTAAGACGTGCTGATCGCCTTCTTGATACGATGGAAGCTTGTCATTTATTGGACATGGGTTCTTCAGGATATAAATATACCTGGTATAGAGGCCACACTCACACTCGAACTGCCAAGAAGCTTGACAGGGGCCTTTGTGACGATTCTTGGCGTCTCCTCTTTCCGGAAGCTTATGTTGAAAACCTTCATCGTGCTTACTCCGATCACTCACCCTTATTGTTGCGTTGTGGGGGCCTTCCAGAATCCAAAGGGGATCGCCCTTTTCGATTTCAAGCAGCATGGACTACACATAAATACTATTCTAATGTTGTCTCTACTGCATGGTCCAAAGGTTCACATAGGGTTGCCGAAAGTTTGAAGAATGTAATGAATGATTCTATCCGTTTCAATAAACAAGTGTTCGGTAACATCAAACAAAGGAAGCATCGTATTCAGAAACGTCTTCAAGGCATTCAACGTAGCCTGGAGTTGCATACTACGGAGGCTTCCATCAGACTAGAAAGAGATCTCCAACAACAATACGACGATGTTCTTGTCCAAGAAGAGTTTTTCTGGTTCCAAAAATCTCATGAAAAATGGGTCAAATTTGGTGATAGGAATACGAAATTCTTTCACGCACAAACCATGATCCATAGGAATCGGAACAAGATACACGGCTTATTCCTTGAGGATGGATCATGGAGCACTGACCCCACTATTCTTCAAAGGGAAACGCAACGCTTTTACATGTCTCTCTTTTCAGCTGATGTTCAACAACAACCTTCCTCATTATTGCTAGACCAGTTTCCCCAGCTCGATAGTCTAGCTATTCCAACTTTATAGGCACCTGTTTCCTTGGATGAAGTGCGCAAAGCAGTAATGGCCATGAAATCATTTAAGGCCCCTGGACCTGATGGTTTTCAACCATTTTTTTTCAAACAGTTCTGGCACATTGTGGGCACTGATTTGTGGAAAATGGTGAATGAGGCATTTCAACATGGTAAGGGGGACTCTAAACTACTCGACATTCTTATCACGTTGATTCCCAAAACCAGTAATCCTACATGTTGGAAGGAATTACGTCCTATTAGTTTATGCAATGTTAGCTACAAAATTATCAGCAAGGTATTGGTTAACCGCCTCCGTCCCTTACTTCAGGACCTCATCAACCCCTTACAAGGTAGCTTCCTCCCTGGACGGGGCCCTCGCGATAACTCTATCATTGCCCAAGAGGTTCTCCATCATATTAACCACCACAGGGGGAAGAAGGGTTTACTAGCCATTAAGATAGACTTGGAGAAAGCCTATGATCGTCTTAGTTGGGATTTCCTACAACAAACACTTTTAGAGTTTGGGTTTCCTGGCAGGATTGTAAGCCTTATTATGTGGGGGGTTTGCGAGACCTCTCTGTCTATACTATGGAATGGTTCAAAACTGGACCCTTTCACTCCTTCTCGAGGCTTGCGCCAAGGTGATCCCCTGGCTCCTTATCTGTTCCTTCTTTGTATGGAGAAGTTGGGCCTGCTTATTCATCAACAAATTCGGGACGGTAATTGGATTCCAGTCACAATCTCAAAATGAGGTCCCTCTCTTTCCCATCTTTTTTTTGCTGATGATATTCTTCTATTTTGTCAAGCTTCCAGGCAACAATTGTAAGTGATCTCATCTACTCTTGATGCCTTCTGTGCTGCTTATGGGCTAAAAGTTAGCCTGGAAAAGTCTAGGTTTGTGTGTTCGAAAGGTGTAAATGGACCTCTTATGGATGAGCTCTAATCTGTCTTGGGCATCCGTCACACTCAGACCTTAGGCTCCTACTTGGGGTATCACTTGCACTCTAGCAGAGTTCGTAAAGATGTCTTCAACCACATCATTACTAAAGTCCATAGTAGACTAGCCTCTTGGAAGAATAAGCTTCTCAACAAAGCTGGTCGCCTCTGCTTAACACGATTTGTTCTTGCTTCCATACCTGTATACATGATGCAACTCTATTGGCTTCCTCAATCCGTTTGTACAACCATTGATCACCTTTGTAGATCGATGTTGTGGTCACAAGGCACACGGACGCGGTAGTGGAACTTGGTGAGTTGGAAGGACGTGATCAAACCCAAAGACTATGGTGGTCTTGCCATGCGTGATACCCGCTCTGCTAACAGTTCTCTACTAGGAAAGCTTATTTGGGACCTCATGCATCATCCTGACAAACCTTGGGTATCTCTTTTGACCCATATATATCTTCATTCCTCCCTATTGTTGAATCATGTCATGCCTCCAGGGGCTTCCCAGGTATGGTGAAACATTCATAAAGCTTTGAGTGTACTTCGTTCAGGCTATGGACCATGTCTAGGAGATGGAAATTCCAGTTTTTGGTACAATAATTGGACGGGCACAGGGTCACTTTGTCATGTAGTACCTTATGTTGACATTCACGATTCACATCTAAAAGTTTCGGAATTATGGTTGGACAACATGTGGAATTTATCTATGCTCTATACCCCTTTACCGGCGCCTTTATGCGCCCAACTAACTATTATTTCTATTCCTGCTCATCCAGTAGGGGCGGACACCATTTCATGGTATGGTAGTAATAATGGTATCTATACCGCAGCTTCAGGCTACAGGTGGTGTCTTGATCCTTTGGAGGGGTTTAGTCATATGTGGAAGAGGATTTGGAAGCTCCCCGTACCAGAGAAAATACGTTTCTTCTTGTGGCAGGGATCTAAGGAAGCGTTACCCACCAACAGTAAACGAATGGCTTGTCATTTAGCCACTAGCTCTATTTGTACACGTTGTACTGCAGGGGAAGAATCCATACTTCATGCACTCCGTGATTGCATCCACGCTAAGGCTGTTTGGACTCGTATTGGCATTGACACTCCAATGTTGATGTCCTTTACGCATATAGTACCTTGGATGCAACATATCCTTCAACATAAAGACAAACTACTAATTATTTCAACCCTATGGTGTTTATGGAGATGGCAAAACAACACAGTGTTAGCACATGAAACTTGGCCTCTTCAGTATGTCCTTCACCTAGTTCATCAAACCAGCATGGAGTTACGACTATATTGCAAAAAGAATCCACCTCTATCTACACCTACTTGGAGTCCCCCAACTGTAGATGTTGTCAAAGTTAACGTGGATGATTCATGTATTCCGCCCCATTCAATGGGTGGAGGAGGAGTTATTCGTGATACCCATGGGGAGTGGTTGTGCGACTTCTCCAAGGCTTTTGGTCAAGGTAATGCATACATGGCTGAACTTTTGGCCCTTAAGCATGGTATTGAATTAGCTTGGAGCTTGGGTTACCTCAAAGTGGTGTGTGAATCTGACTCCCTAGAAGCTGTGGAAGCAATCACTCATTCTACTTTGGCCTCCATGGCTTCCCCCTCTGTGCGAGATCTCCTGATAGATATTCGTCTTCTTCTTTCTAGAACGTGGAAAACTCAGCTTTTATGTATTCCCCATGAAGCTAACATTGTTGCAGACCGCTTGGCAACTTTTGGAAGTCACAATGTGACACGTGAATTTATTGTGCCACCGCCATTTATTATGGAGGCCTTCTTGCATGATTTATTAGCCCTAGGCTAGCTGACATTCTTTATGTTTTGAGTTCTTTTGTTCTTTTGTAATTCCTTATTCTACCAAAAAAAAAAGGAAGAGTCTTATAATTCATAATATATTGTCTTATTTAGTTTGAATATTACTTTCAAATAAAAGATACATGTAATTTATAAAAGAAAGTTTTATAATTAATTAGATAAATGTATATTTTTAGTTAAATTTCTAAAATGTAGTACTACATGTACAACAAAAATTATACAAAAACTTGTACAATGTACAACACTTTTCTATTTCTCTCCATAATTAACAAACATCTCTTATATTAATAAATGAAGTGATGGAGGTAAATAAATATAAAACTGATGTTGTACAAATTGTTATATAATTTTCATCGTACATATAGTAAGAATATAAATGAGTAAGATCAAGTTGAATTTATACTATTTTTGTACCCAATTCAATTAAAATTATTTAGGTTGAATTGGGTTTATAAAATTTTTAAAACAATCTGACCGAATCCAACTACAATTGGGTTGGGTCAAGTCAGGTTATTAGGTTGAAAATTAAAAAATATATATTTTAAAAAATTGAATCAATAAAAAATAGAAGAATATTTAATTCAAATTTCAATATATGATTAAAAGTGCAAACAATATTACAACAATTATAAATAAGAACTTACAAATATCTTAAACAAACAAATATTATATAACTATTGTAAATTTTTTTGAATCACATAACAACTTAAATTAAATTATTTTTCTTCCCCCATGATTTATTCAATTGTAGTCATTTCTTTCATGTAAATTGACTCAAAATAAAATTCAATATAAGCCCATTTAAAATGTATTATGTATTGTATCATATGTAGTATTATCAGTAACCTTCCATCCATGAATAAAGGAAAAGGAAACAAGGAGCATGAGCATATAAAATTCCTATA